CAGTGCTGGAGCAGCTCTATTGGTCTGCAAAGGCCATCAATGATGACCAACATGGGCAGCAGGGTGGGGGCAGTGCAGGGGCTCATGGCTGGAACAGGCACTGAGCCATGGGCCATGTTGGGGATCTACAGCTTGTGGGGCACACAGGGCACTGGGTGGGTATCAGCTCCTTGTCAGTGTGCCTCGGGCTGTGGCTGGAGCTGGATATTGGTGGGTTTGAGGTAGAGGCATTCCCTGAATGCCGGGATCCAGCAGCTTGGGAGTAGCCTTGTGCCAGCAGCAGGCCAAGCTGAACAGGCACTGAGCCATGGGCCATGTTGGGGATCTACAGCTTGTGGGGCACACAGGGCACTGGGTGGGTATCAGCTCCTTGTCAGTGTGCCTCGGGCTGTGGCTGGAGCTGGATATTGGTGGGTTTGAGGTAGAGGCATTCCCTGAATGCCGGGATCCAGCAGCTTGGGAGTAGCCTTGTGCCAGCAGCAGGCCAAGCTGGGGAGGAGCAGGTGCAGGTGGGCTCTGCTGGACCCGGGGAGAAGCTCTGCAGGGAGCTCACTCAGGTCTCTCTTCCTGGGGCTGTTCTTGGTCCTTGAATATGTTTCCTGGAAAAATGGTGGTGTCAGGGAACAGGGTGGTGAGCCACAGTGTCATCAAGAACAGCACAGAGAGCACAGTGAAGTGGCCATCTCCAGGAACTTGTCCAGAATTCATTTTCTTTTGAATCATCAGAGAATTTTAAAAATTGCAGGAGAAATGTCTGTGCTGACAGGGACCAGGCAGGGATTTCCTCCAGCAGAGGACAGCAGTGCACGCTGATCCTGCCTCCTCGCTGCTGGGGTGTGGAAATCTGGTAGAACTTGGATGCAGAAGCCTGAAGGAGAGAAAGGTTTTATTGTTGCTTTGTTATACAATAAACATTTTAATACGTTTGGTCTCATTAAACGTTCTGGGGTGCAGAATGCTGCCAGAAGTGCAGCCTGGAGTGAAAGCTGACAGGCAGGTCTGTGATGTGTTGTTCAGCAGTGGAAAATGAAGCTGACTTTGCTCACAAGCTGTGGCCCAGGACTCCCAGCCTCCCCAGACCTGGGTCGTCTGGTGCACAATGGGCAAATTTAATCACAGGCACTCAGAGAGGAAGGCTCCTTGTGAAAGACTTTGGGCTAAATGTGGTAGCAGGGGTGAAAAGACAAGTCCTCATGTCAGAGAGATAAATAGGTGTTTCTAGCAGACAGATATTGCCACGTTCCCCCAGGTTCAAACACGTTCTCTGGGAGCACAGCACGTGCTGGGGACAGGAGCTGTGCTGGCTGCTCCTTCTCAGCCTTACCTGTGACTGTCTCTTCTCAGGGAGAAGATGAAGCTGTTATCCTCAAATCCTGCACACGGCGGAAAACTGACTCGATTGAGAAGAGGTTTTGCTTTGATGTGGAAGCTGTGGACCGGTGAGTGCCCAGGGGCCTTCCCGCCCAGCGGGTCGCACAGGATGCCCGTGGGGAGCAGGAGAGGCTGCACTCCTCTGAACTTGGCTCTCCTGGGTAGTTCTTGTGCTGGTTCCCTGTTTCTCCTCTCCTTTAGCCATACCCCTCCGTGAATGGAAAGCATTAGTCCATGGAAATGTGCTCTCCCTGGTGCTTCTAGCCAGGTGTTCTCCATATATTCAGTTAGTGCTCTGGTTTACAAGGTGCTGAGTTTACTCAAGTCTCTCAAACTTTAATGGTGTTTTAGCACTTCCGCAGTCTCTGGCCACGTAAGGTAAATGGTTGCAAGTATGGAAAAGATGCTCTGTGGGTGTTTTGGCAGGGGTATGATTCCTGTTGTCAGCGCTGGGTATGTGTTGGAATAGCTTCAGCTTTTTGTGCTGTTGCTGGTCTGCTGTGGCTGGGCAATGGTGGCAGCCAGGCTTGCACCCCTGGGCACATTCCCTTCTTTTTCTTGAAGGTGTAAGACACTTCTTGATGTGATTTATGACACAGCAACACAGCAGCTGGACCAAATATATGTGTGGATTCAATCTGTAGTGCCTAGGACTCTGAGCCTGTTATCATATCCCATGAACATCACACATGGCTTATATATAGCAACGGGCTGGAGTTGCTCTTCCAAGCATGTTAGTCACTGTCTCCCAGCTTCCTTGCTGCAGGAAGTTTACCTGGCCTACAAAAACTTGCTCCCAAAGTCATTGAATGTCTGTGCCCTCCCAGCTGTGTGCCTGCTGATGTTCCAGCTGCCCTTCCCTCCTCTGGCCACTGCAAGAATGCCCAGGAGATTGTGGGAAGACCTGAATTCATCCAAACCCAAGATACTGAATAGTGCTGGGACACCCCACAGCACTTTCCCTGCCCAGCCTGGGTTTTCACAGCACTTCCATGCCAGCCCTCCTTGCTGCCAGCCAGGGAAGGGAGGGCTTGTGGTGATGGAGCTCTGCCTGTGTTGGCTGAAGGATAGGATAACCCCAGGGCTGCCTCCTGCTCTCTGTAGCTGTGCTTTCCTCCAGAAAGCTTCACTATTTCTGCTGACAAGGGGATTTTTTTTCCATTTGCCCTGAGGATATTTTTTTCCAATGTGAAAATCAAAATAAAACTGGGAGGAGGAGAAGCCAGCCACCACAAGAGTTTTCTTCTGCAGTTAACCTTCCCTTGATGTCTGAAACCTGCTAGGCATGGGATCAAGAACTACTCCAGAAATATGCCTGCTAACTGTAAATAATGGCAGGGGAGTGGCAAAGGCTGGGAAACCTGAGAAATTGCTCAGTTCGTGTAGACGTTCCTGCTGCAAGAGGTTTCCTGTGCCTGAGAGGACAGTGAGAGGAAAACAACCAGCAGAAAGGCTGGTTTTCCCCCAATATACAGGCAACTCTGCATATTTTTGGTATCAGAATTTGTCATTAGTTACCTACAATATTGGTTATGTCCAAAATGGTTAAGCCAAGAGAAAGGGGAGGCAACAGATTTTGTCATGGCCAAAAGAGCATGTGATGTGCCCAGGCTGTCTCCCCTCCCAGGAATGGTGATGGTGAGTGCTGGGAGATCTGGGCAGTGTCAGGGCTTGGGGTGATGCTGTTGATGGCCAGGGCTCACTGGAGATCACCTTCACCTCTCCTGGCACTCGGGATTTGACCTGTTTTACAAAGCAGTGTGTATCAAGGAGTGGTTTCCATGCCAGCCCGGGATTACCAGGGATTGACAGTGTGTGGGTGCCACGCTGAGCCCTCCTGCTGGAGCCTGGCCTGGCTGTGCTCTGTGGCCTTGGAGAAATGGGTGACCTGCAGCTCCTGGTCACAGCTGGAGGTGCTAGGGCTCTCTGGGAAGGGAGAACTGTGCTGCTGCTCTGGAGGTCAGCTGGGAAGACAGCACTTTTGGAGGCACAGCTTTCCATGGAGTGCTGGAGGTCAGCTCTGGCTCAAGGAACCAAGCACAGGGTCCTTCAGCCAAGTCCACTGACCACAGCTGAGAGGCTGTCCTTGATCCAAGGCTGGCTGGAGCAGTGTGTGTCTGGTTTTGCACAACAGAGAATTTGTGTAGTGGCCTTTTTGTCTTGGGCTGGTTTTTTTTTGTGTGTGTGTGTATGTTTTTTTTTATTGTCTATAGTAGCAGAGAAGTTAGAAGCTTGCTGTATTGTTCTTCAGCCCCATGCAGGAAGTCTGGATATGATTAAGGCAAACAACCCCAAGATGCTTCTCTGTCTCACAGATGTACTGAGTTTTGACTTGCAGCAGTTCTCCCCTTTTCAGTATGCAACTTCTAAATGAAAATGAGGCTTGTAACCCATGTCCACCAGGAGTTGAGTGTCCTGTAACTGATGGGTGCAGGCATCTGGCATTAAGCCAGCCCAGGAGAACACTGTGATGCTGAGAAAAGTTCCTGCATTTGTGGTGTTCAGGGGTGAGGGTGATGAATGTCACCAGAGTGTGCTTCTCCTGAAGTTTGAAACTGCCTTTCTAAAGGTTAGCTTGGAAACACTTGGATTAAGAGAGCAGGAAGGTTTTGCTGTACACATCACTTACTTCCAGTGGACAATTAAATTGGATTGTCCCTTCTGAAGTAGGTGTGGAGTGAGAATATGCTGAGCTGCCTGTGTGCCTTCCTCAGCAAGAGCAGGGAGCGTTGCTTGCTGCTGTGGGTTTTGGCCTCTCAGGAAGAGACCAAGAGGTCTCTTACTGCTGCAACAGGTGAGACTTAAAGAACCTTGCAGAGGCACCTGCAAGCTGGTGTCCCTGGGGCTCTGCAGCGGGTGCAGCAGCCCCTGCCCGTGCCTTTAGGTGAGTGACTTGAGTGCAGTGCTGCCAGGGGGCAGGGTGAGGTCCTCTTCCTTCCCAGGCTCTCCCAAAGCACGTTCAATCACTTGTTAACTTCTCTATGCACAGAATGGCTTAGCTACCTATTTATTATGGCCTGAGAAGCTGTGTCCATCAGGGATGGAGTTATTCCTGTCTCCTGCTGGAGCTGGCAGTGTAAAACCTGTAGGAATTAGCTGGCTTGTTAATTGGATCCTGTGTTACAGCCACACACGTATATGAGCACATACAAGGAAATGTCACTTTCTACTCCAGTATTTTTATCTACTACCACAAAACTTGCGAGGCTCTTCCCGCAGGAGGTTGCAGGGCGGGGTGGGATGCAGCGGGATGCCCGTGTTGGGGTGACAGAGAGGCAGGGAGGGGACCCTGCTGCAGCTCCCGCTTTGCTGGACAGCCTGGAGGTGGCAGCAGCGGTTCTTCCCCGCTCTTGTTCATCAGCACGGAAAGGGGCTTGTTGTCAGCGTTGCGTTTTGGGAAGCTGCTTACATGCAGCGTGGGGTGCAGGCTCAGAGCTTTTTTAATAACACCCAGAGAAGCTGTTGCTTGTCAGGGGGAAAAACATTTTGGTTTTCCTCTTGTGAAGATGATTCAGCACTACTGAGCTGGAAATCTTTGGCCTTGATCTGTCGTTACAACGTTGCTTCCCTTTCCTTTTGTCTGATAAGGAGATGCTGGAGTTCCCTGGGCTGAAGACTGGCAAGCTGTGGTACAGGTGCTTGTGAGAGGTCTAAGAAATCCCTGACACTGCATTTGCAAATAGTTCTGCTTTTCAGTGTCAGAGGTTAGGAGTATTTTACTGCTTTGTTACAGCATCAGAACAGTGTTCTAGTAGCTGGCTGAAATACATTCCCAGTGTGATGGGTACTGTGTTTAACTGTTGATGCCCTTTTTTTCTAGCTAAACTTATTTGTAGTCTCTGTGCATTAAATCAGTTTTGTAAACAAGGTAAACAGGGATGACAGCTGGTGTCTTACAAAATGAGCCTGAGGAGGAGGAGTATCTCATTTGGCTGATGACAAAGGCTTTGTACTTGAGGATAATGTAGGTCATTGCTCTGGGCCAGAAGCTAAGCACCAGTTGGCCTTTTTGGGGACAGAGGGTATTCAAAATGTGGGGGTTTTGCTCTCTCAGTCATTCAGAAAAACAGCACAGCCTCCACATAACACCACTGCCCTGGGCTGCTGCCCGTGTGCCCCCCCAGAGGCTGGCACTGCACTGCCCTGGGGGAGCTGCCACGCACTGCCCCATCCCTTCCCTGCCTTTTTAGGAGGAAGGTTGTTGGCCTTGCTCTGGGTCTGCACTTGGTGGATCTGCAGGTTTCTCTGGGTGCCACCCTGCCCGTGGCAAGGCACAGAGGCTCCCTGCTTCCTGGGGCCGGTGGCCACCCCAGCTGTGCTGGTGTCCCCGCGGGCGGCTGGTGGCTCTCGCCGGCGCTGCGGACAGCATGTGCAATACACCTTGTACTGTTCCTCTGCAGGTGTTGCCTTTCCAGTGACCTTTCAAACAAAGCTGTTGGTGGGGTTTCACCAGGGCTGGCGATGAGCGGCCGAGGCTCCTTCCCCCCCTGACAGCCACGGAGACCCGTGCTGAGCCTGTCCTGCCATGCGTGCTGGTGGCGGGGGTACTGATGGTGCTTCAGGCTTTACACAGAAGTGAATCATAGAATCACAGACTGGTTTGGGTTGGAAGGGACCTTAAAGATCATCCAGTTCCAACCCTCCTGCATGGGCAGGGACACCTGCTAGATCTGGTTGCTCAAAGCCCCATCCAGTCTGGCCTTGAAGACCACCAGGGAGAATTTCTGAGCGCAGGAACAAAGTCCTTCCCTTATTTACCCCTTTTCTTTGTTATCTGTATTTTGGGGCTGCACCTGGCTGCTGGTGCCTGGAGCAGCATCCCATGATCTTGGGGTCAGGTCTGGATGCAGCAGCACGTGGGTGATCTGCTCCCACCAGGGCTGCAGAGCTTCTCCGTGTGCTGGGCTCCACTCAGCCCTCCAGACCCTGTTATTAATCTGCTCTTAGGATTTTACATTCAGCAGTTTAGATCGTCTTGGTGTGATAAGCTGCTAGAGGAGTTGAAAGTTCTTATCTGTTTCTATTGCTTTCATTATTTGTTTGTTTTTCTGGAAGAAGGAAAAGCCGTTGGTCTTTCTCATTTTCTCTGCATGCTTAGTCATAGCTCCTTAAAGCCAAGCTGGTTTTCATAAAAAACTGAGATATTGAAAAAATTCAAATTTCCTGTGTGGTCTCCTGTGGAAAAATCTCCTTAGTTTTTAGACTATAGCATATTGAAAATACACTTCCTTGCAAAGGTTTTACCATGTTCTACTCTGGTCTACATCTACTC